GTGTGTGTGTGTGTGTGTGTGTGTGTGTGTGTGTGTGTGTGTGTGTGAGTGTGTGTGAGCGGGTGCAAGTTTGTGAGAGCGTGCGCCACCCTCGTTCCGCTCCGGTGAAGCGGAAGGCCTCACCTCAGCGCTCCCTGAGACAGCTGCACCCCACCACGTGGCCTTAGACAACAGGCCTGCCCATCACTCCTCGCCACATTTTCTGATTTCTGTTTTTCCCCGCGCGCGTACTTGTTGAATTTCTCATCTGTGCACTCTGTCGCTCGGCCTTGATGGGCTCACAAACTTTCCCTTCGCCAATCTCCCTCCGATTGCCTCCCCGCGCCGAGCATGTGTTGTGGTCGCCCGCTAGCAGTATTCCCCCGACGCCCAATGGCTCAGGTGTGAGGGCCGCATTAACGAACAACAAATTAGAACAGGGGGAAGGGAAAACAACAGCAATATCTCCGTTTTCCTCTCCAGCGAGCACTCTTTCTGGACAGGAAAATAGGTCAGGTGAGAGCGGCGCTGCCAGGGAGGGGTTAGGAGCTAGTTTTAAAGGGGGAGACTGAAGGGGGAGTAAGGGGGAGGAGGGTTTTTAACGTTTGCTCATTTAGCACCAATATATTCTTGGCAATTGTAATAATCAGGGATTCATAAACAAACAAACAACTGTGAGGCTGAAACTGACTCAATTACCGAGAGTTCCCCTCCTTCAAATTCATAAAGAAATACCATCAGCAGCCCCTCTCCACCCTTGAAGTTATTTAGTTCGTTAAATAAGGGCTCGTTAGCCCTCTGCTGTTTCGCAGAGATGATTAGATTTTACAGCCCTAATTAGCTGGGCTAGCTCTAACTCTTCTGGAAGAGTAATGGGTCTGATTGCCTAATTAGCTCTCTCTCGTTAAGATTGGAGAAACAGGCCACTGCAGCAAAACCGCAGGAATGAGGAAAAATAAAGTCAGCTAATGAGAAACTTATTTGATTGTTAGGAGAACAAATCTGGTACGGTGTGGATCAGCTGCGCTCTGGGTACTGTACACGCTCACCGGGAGAATCTTTTAACCATCTCTTTATCTCATCTCCCATTGAAAAAGAGAATTTTGTTGGGGCTAGAAGCATTCACAGAGCCTTGTCATTCATTTTTTTTTTTTTTACCATCTTCTTTAAAAACCATCTTTTAGATATTTGTCAGGATTGTATGAGCCTAGCAGACCTTAGTTTTAAGTTGGCCTGAATGTGTCCCTCGTGGCAGTCTATCTGCCACCTGATCAGTCAGCGCTGAAGCTCGGGACGATCCCACGCCATATTTTATGAATCTAACCTCAGAGGTGCCAGGTTCTCGGAAATTCAGATGGACTCTGGCATGACATGCTGTGTCTGTGCTTGACTCTGGGCAGCAGGAAGGCAGCTGAAAGGTGAGACGCTCCTGTGCGTCTCCTCCCCGGGGATACAAGTGTGGTCCACTTTAGCCTCTCACAGAAGCAGAAAAATACGAGGCGAGTCCTTAACCCCTCAACCTCCGTTTCCACTTCTCTCAATCACTGCTGGTTAGCATGGGGTTAATCATATGCAGCCGCTGCATATGATCAGTCCATCATGTGCTTGGATGGGCCTCAAATCATAAACACATTTTCCTCCCACCCGTGCACAACTTGGCTGTATCTCTCCTTTGCGTAGGTTAAATATGCCTTCCCATAAAGCAATTTCTGCTAATACACTTTGTCTCCATATGATTTGGAGCATTCTTTTCACTGAACCTTTACTCAAGTCAGAAAGCGCCTCATTGAGATACAAGGTTTCATTTATGTTGAGGGTTTGAAGTGGTGTGGAATATCAGCAATGACAATGATTAAAGAGCATCTTATGTTCTCTTTCTCTTCCAAGTCACAAAGTCAGTTTTTCTGATATCAGATTTTCATTTGTCAATCAGATTTATGAGTAATTTCAAGCTGAAGGAGTGGCATATCATAGAATTAAGTCTATAATCCCAGGTACGAGCATAATACGAAAGCAAACAGCAATAAGTCCTCAAAGCAAAAACAATTACTTCCTGTATTTTTGTGAAGGATATAGATCTGAAGATAGGGTAAAAAGCATACCATGCGAACCTTAGAGAGTCTGCCAGCTGCTGACGCACCATCCACTTCAAGCAAATTGTAAAAAAATATTGAGTAAAATAGTTTAAACTAGGAATAATATTCGTTGCTACGTATTAGAATGTTTCTACTTCTTTTAAAGATCATAAGGATGCATCAAATGCATACATATTACAGAAGAAAACCCTCCTTTTAGTCTTCAAAAATAGACATAATGGGATTGTGAACTATAAATCCTTTCCAAATCTGCTTCCTTTGGGGATATGACTGCCCTTCCAGCACCATGTGTCCTCCCATGCCTCCTACCACCTGTGTCCCGTGGCCCTTTCCTGCTCATCCAGCTCCCACAGGCCTGCTGCGGGGTCTCCCCCAGGCAGACAGAGCTTGTCTGGAGGGAGGGAGGTTAGAAACACTCTGCGACCAGAGATAAGGATCCACTGTTTAGCCCCGCAGAGCTCATGATCCCACCCCCCCAATCCACCCAGGAGGGGCAAAGGGGAGTCCACTTTACAAGCGGACAATGTTATTTCAGGTCTATTGCTGTTTTTGAGCATATGTTTGCATTTGTTTGGAATTGCGCACACTCCTGAGGCCCGCTGTTGATGTTGCCCATTTCCTCGCATGCGGGTCTGTGATGGTGTGTCCGCGTTGGTGTTGGCTATTTCCCCGGGAGCGAGTGTGTGTGTTGATAGAGGCCATTTCCTGACGAGTGTGTATGAGTATCTTGAGTGAAGAATGTCGGGCAGGAAGTGCTCCTCCCGGGGAGGATGATGTCATGGCGAACGGTTTCCTGTTCTCTGAGCCTGTGAAACAGAGTGCCTCTCAGCGTCGCCGTGCCTAATTTACCTGCCCTTGTGGACCAGGTTTTTTTCTTTTCTCCACCTTTTTGTCTCAGTACAACACCTGATACATCCAGAAGGAGGATCAAATTAGGCCCTTATAGCACTGAGCGGAACATTTTCTAGTTTAATGTAGTACCCTTTTGTCCTGGTATCTCTCTTCTGGGGGACCCCCTTATTGTTTTGGTTGTTATGTTTGGATGCGCTTCCTGGGGTGAGAGGTCATGTGTTGCCTCGGCTGGGCTAACGTGCGCTAGTGAATAATGTATGTCATTGACTTTATGTCAGTCCTGCCAGCCCCCCAAGCAGAGCCCACCCATGTTTAATTCATCCATCTCATCTGTGTGTGTGCGCTTGTGGGTCCGCGAATATGTGTGTGCGTGTGTCATTTAGAGGCCCAGTCTGCACCTGTCCAGCCATTAGCCCCCTCCTCATTTGCATTTGATGCTAATGTGGTTTACTGGCAGTGCCTTCCGTCCCTTTAGTTTAGTTTCATTTATGACTACGATAGTGAGAAGGTGAGAACACACTTACTATGCAGATATCTTACATTCTTCCAACTGTATCCGCTGACACTTGAATCCCGAGGTCTTTGTTATCTTTTTTTTTCTTTTTCTGCATGTATAGGGTCTGTTTCAATTCATGCATTTCAAGAAGTTTTCGATACTCCGTTCCACTTTTTTTTTTACACACTTGTTCTTCTGCTGTGTCTCTGACCAGCTATCAGTAGCTTGGCATGTCCCTTCTAGACAAAAAGAAGTCAGAAACAGTGTCATGACACTTGGAAGGATGACACCACTTTGTGCAGTGGATTACAGTGTCCATTCAGCTCATATGATTTTTTCCCCTCAACTTGTATGATCTTCCTTTATCTTGATTTGATGCTTTTCTTCGAAGGCCGGGGAGGCGGAGAGCCCCCTCCCACTCTGCCTAAGATGCATTTGTTGTTGTTGGTGTGCTGTTTCTTTTTGGGCGGCCTTAATCGGGAGGGGGGGGACAGCTGTATTAGATGTTATGGGAGGCTTTAGAAAAGGACTGGCCCTGGGCGGGCTGGGGGTGTTTGTGCAGGGCTCAGGGGCAAAGAGGCAGAGTTGCTGGCTCATCGATATGCAGGCTGAACTCCCCTCCCTCAGGTGCTGGCTGCCTCGCAAATCTGCCGCACTACGTATACGGACACACACACACATATGCAGAGACAGATGCAGCTCACCCTAGGATAAACTCCTACACAGCTCACGAGTACATGTGCAGGCACATCCAT